TTGTGAGATTAAAGTGCAATTAACTGACTGACCACGACGACTACTACAAAACAGCAGACGAGGACGCGGTTGACGGTAGTATACCATGCCAGTTTTTCTGGTTTATTACGTTATCAACAACCCAGCGCATCATTCGCCCTCTTTCTACCGTCTTTTGTCCATCATGTAACATTTTTATAGATTCGTAGATACATACAAATAGATTTATGATCAAAATTGCATACTTGGTGTAGTTTGACAAGGAAACTCATCACTTTGTGAGTGCGTTATCATGATGTTGTCCAAATCCACAAGGGTAATTTCACTAAGAATCACGGCATTTCTTGGTATCTTACGATCCAGGCACTTGGGCCGGAATCCGGAATCTCTCGAGAAATCCAGCTCAATTTCAGTTACATTTACACAATTATGAGATCACATCAACTTCAGTACGCGTATGTATACAATATACAACCCATATCTATGAGACACAAAGCACGGATTTGCATTTAGTTACAAAGGTCCAATTTGAAATTTCACTCTTCGTTGGAGTGCACAAATGGTGACCATGCAACTGTACAAAATAATACAAACCTCTCCAATTAGATTAATAGAATAATTTAAATATACAATTTAGGAGAATGTGTCCCATCACATTAATGAAACTCTGATCCCATCCTCCAGGACGTTGTGGAAGTAAGCACTTTCACTACTTTCACTTGAAATAAAAGCGTACAATGTGTCACAAGACAAGCCTCCTTTCTTCTTGCATGTAATATGCAACTAATATAACAACTAGCACTACCAGTTTCAGGGTATTTTAGAAACGTACATTAATTTTCCCGGTTGGAATTGAGTACACTTTAACTTGATTGATAGATGAAGCAAATTTGCGCCAACCTCTCCTCCTTCACTCATTATCTTTTAATTAAATTCAAGCAAAACGACAATGATGAATGAACCCACATCCTTTACTCTTATAAGTCCTAGAACCACCACTCTGTCAACTTCACAATCCAACTTTAATGAAAAAATAACACGAGTAAATACAGTTCATAATGGTACAACACTACACATATGCATGTGGCTGCACCGATTGTGCAAATCTACTATATTTTGGGAAATTCGTTTCTGTCATCCACTAACAATGTGAAATATCGATATTTAGTACCACTTGCGTTTTATTATAAAATCATAAGAACTCAATCATCAGGGTGAGACGCTCGAAGTGAGACAACGTATCCAGAACGGAGCACAGCGCACAGACTACAGAGAACTGGTTGTCATATTATTTTATTGTTCAAATGTATGCCTATGGTATTACATCTCAATGGCCTATGCATACATGCTTACTTTTGTATGTACGCTTACACTCTTGAACCATTTTAGAATTCATAAGATCGGTGTACGTATACTCATGTTCTAGTTTACTTTCACCACCCACTTATTTATTGCGAACAAAACAACTTGTCCTTGCATGTTCAAGTTAACCGAACGAACTTTTCAAATACGGGCTTGAATTACGACAATTGTCCACCATTTGTAAAAGGTGAAAATAAGTCCACCAAGTTGGCAGGTAGTTAATATGCTTGAATTATTCAATTCGATACATGAATAGTTTTCATGCCACGCAAAACCCTGCGAGTATGTGTATGTTGTTGTCCGTCAGGGAGAGTGCTGGAGCTGAAATGAACCAATTGGTTTTTATGGGGCCAACTAAACAAAGCCACCATACGTAATAATATTTTAGCGTGTCGTGTCGTATTACGGCACAATCCAATTCTAAAGTCTACTCACGAAATCGTGCTTGATATCCTACAGAATATCTTAAAGTCGCCAACCGTCTTGATATCGCCATCCTGGGCACACTACCAAAATTCCTCTCGTATTAGATCAACTTTGGATAAACGCCATTCACAACAACGGCACCACGATAACTGAGCAAGAACCCCGAGATGCAAGCCGTCCCACATTCATCCATGTAACATACATTTGAACCCATTTCCTCTACTTGAGCTCCTATCCCTACGCCCGATAGCACTAAAATGTGTCCTCGGGAGTCGGGGAGAGGAGTGCAAGAATGGTTTGCCACCACCTCCGAAGAAGCCGGGTTGCCCAACCGAACCGGGTTTGTTTTTGTTACCCAATGTTTGATGCATATCAACAACTGGGAGAAAGTCCTTTTTCCCATGCTCTTCTTCGTTCCGTTATTTTAGCGTTTCCGGCTGCACTTTTTCTGCCCATTTTACCCCGTGTGCTGATAACTTATGTGACCAATGAACCGATTTAGATTTTAGATTCACCTGCTATGTACCAAGTATTACCAATTTCGCCAAACTTAGTTTGATGAATATATGTAAATGTATGTAGTAACTCCTATCCTATTATCATGTAATGGTGACAAAACTGTCAAATTTAATTATATTTATTATGGAATTAGGCTGACTAGTTCTACGTAAGAACATTTGGCTGCGTTATTAAGTTCACTTCACTGGCAAACTTGGTTGTTGGACATGTTCACAATTGCAGGCGTATTGATTGTTTTATTAGCGACAGCGAGTGCCGAGTAGCTCCAAACGACACTACTAAAAACCAATCTGTCCAAGAATTGGCCTTCAAATCTGACGCTACAACGCATAATAATGCGATTAATCTAATTTTTATTGGCACCATTGGAAGAGATATTTGAAGCAATAAAACTGGTACTGACTGACTGAATGAACTGTAAGTAGATTTGTATATGTAATTAGTCGCGCTTCCACAACTATTGCATGGTTAGCCAAATAAGTAGCTCACACTGCACTCGATAGTGTTATCGTACTTGATGCACATACTGCACACTCAACCTTCCTCAATAAGTAACCAAGTTAGGATGAATAGTGTACATACATCAAAGGATAGATTCGACAAATTGTAGAATCATAAAACGAAACGACTTGCTTATTATTAAAATGTTTTATGCCAGGCGTTCTTCTCACAACATGCGACATGCATTTCGGAGAAGATAAAGAAAAGCCATTAGTAGATGATGTCAAACCGATTCATAAGCCATTTGCAATTTCTATCCACGTTATACACACTGTACATACTCCACGATCCACGATGTATACAAACATGATGCACACAACTCCTTTTAAAGCATGATCCCAAAATCCATTGTAAAAACTGTTGAAAAACTTTGCACACAGGAAATGATGACCCAAGTAATGCAAGGATAGCAAGCAGCCGATCATGAATTCATGATACACCATTCGTAACTTGTGTGTAGTAATAAGCACTTATTATTCGAGTTCGAGTTTGGTCATCATATATGAAATCGGGGAAAAGGCAATAATATTGCCTCATCCTCGGTTAATATTATGGAGTACACGTAAAAGCCAACCGAGTCTGTATTCTGTGACGCTTATACAACACCATTCCAAATTGCTCTCATCTTCATCATTACTAGCAGGGGGATGGATGGGTCCTTCTGTGGATCTGTTATGCGATCTGCTATGTTCGTTCTGGTGCTCATAAAATTGAAAGATAATCATTATTCTTGCTGTACATATGCAACAAAGTTCAAAAAGAGTAAACTTCCTCTCCACCCACATAAATACTTATTTATGAACAAAATTAGTGACTCTGTAAATTGAGACACATGCAAACGATATTATATACATATCAGAGCAGATGTACATGTGATCATGATGCATTCATTGACTTGGTTTAGTTCAATTTATAAATATGTATATTCAATACACCATCGTTAGTATCAACTTATTTTACTCAACTTATTTTAGACTGAAACGATTAAACCCGAAGCCATTGTAGATGTTTTTGCAATCTAGCTAAATCACCATCATGTGTCGAAAAAAATATTTAAATTTCACATACCTTTAACATCAGTGTCCGTATAATGTTTCAATCCAAAGGCAAATGTTTTGGATTCTTTCATACTTCCAGTTTCTCCTCGAATTTCTCTGTCGCGTAAATTTGTAATTTTGCTCCCAGCTAGAGGACTATCATTTGCATTGGTGCTCGTGCTACTATCTCCGTCCTCAGCATCTTCGTCAGCTTCGTGGTCATTGTCCCTGTGTACCACGACTGAGGAGGATCGCCAACTGGATCTGATTGGGATAAAGTCTGGCGGCACGGACTTGTTCGCTGCACCGCTCCCATGTCCATCTTGCCGAATATTTCCACATTTGTGAGCATTGAGATTCTCGTGGAATTCGGGAGAGGAAGAATTGTTTAGAGTGACTGATGATGACGCACTATCAGTATCTGGGGGCTCGATGCTCGCCATAAATGACGAGTGCCTCTTGCCAAGAGGCGACAATAAAGACGAATGACTAGGGGGAGAAGAGTTCTTTAGATGTTGTCATCTTCCAATCAACAAAAGACGTGATTGGTAATTGATGCGAGGGCCAGTCGAACGAAATGGTGTACTTTTCTATTTAAAAAATTGCACTCGCTCCCTCCCAAATTTAGAATCAATTGTATCACCAAAAATAAAGCTGCAATGTAATCACAATTGACCACAGAACTTCTGGATTCTATATTCTGGAACAAAATAGAAAGTACAAAAAATAATAATTAATCCAATACTTTTATAACTACAAGCTAAAACAAGGATAGAAAACTTAATAACATGCAAGGAATTTCCAATGAACTCACTATAAATTGTTAAGATCCAATTCTTACCTCCTCGTCTTACTTTTGAATAATTTTGAATTTCACTGGCCTTCAGTCTTCACCTTCATTTTTCGTTCACTGAGCAACTTATCAAGGCGCGACTTATCCGTCCTACCACCCACACTGAGACAGATGAGAAGGCAGAGTGCACTGGTGGTGAAGTTGATGATGCTTAAATGAGTAACAGTTTAATGAATGTTATAATTAAGTTGTTGACAGTTTGTTGTACGTTGCAAGCAAATTGTAAAGCCTGCTGTTTCTGCTGATGATTCACTTTTCACTCGGTGAGCTGGGGAGCATTGGCACAAGGCTGCCATCGAAAACTCCACTCTGCCCGCCACCACTCTCGCCACCATCACAACAACACAGCCACCAATTTTACTCTCCGCCTCTCCGGCAGCCTTTTTGCACAAAATAATTGCAAATTATGAAGTAGGTCCTCTTTTGCAAGCTCGTCCTCGTCGCCACCCCCACGCGTCAAGTGGGGACAGGACAACGCGATGATTTACAAAAATAAATTTGACACCATTCCCGAGGACTCACGCCCATACAAGTTATGAGTATTTACTTCTGTATATATTTATTTCAGCCTGCACTAGTTCAAACTTTAGTTCTATTGTGGCTAATTGTTGGTTCTTGTTGCTTTCAGTACGACGCATCAATTAATTAGCTTAACCGGAATCAATATCCACAGAAAAAGTATCTTGGTGAGAAGCAAAATCTTTAATTTTTATATTTAAAAAATATGAATTAGCCTGTTCAATCAAATTGTGCATTGTGACAGGGTCTGGTTGAGCTGACAATTATCCCAAAGAAGTCTAATTTGAGATGTGTCAAACTGAATGTGAAGCAGTGCAAAATTTATCGGGCTGTGATAAATGACACTTTTGAAGCCCAATTTGATTATTACGACTTAACGGCGGAGATTACTCCTCTAGACTCCAATACTAATGGACACGCACTTGAGCATTTTTGTGCAGATCATAAGAATGCAGTGTTGGAAGGTGATCCGGATGCTGGAGGAGGTGAGTAATGTTTATTTTAAAATTTTTAAAAGCTGCTAAAAGTGTCCCATGGTTCTTATTGTTACTTAAGTTATTGTGACGTTACATATGACATCAGATACATATTATTATCCACGTAATATATTCTTAATATGTGAAATATGTATTTTAGGAGAACTTATTGTACGACTACCACAAGAAGCATCACACGTTCTTGTTGAAGGGCGACCATTTCGTCTAACCATTGAGTATTCATTGGAGAAACCTCAAGGGGGATTGCATTTCGTTGTTCCTAAAGATCCGACAGGAATTGAGGTTAGATAACGCATGATATTAATAATGCATACTTTCATAAATATGCACAACACGAAGATCAACTAAATAATACTGACATTTTTAATTATTTGCAGAAACCTCACATGTTTACTACTCGACATGAAAATAGTTCTCGACTGTGGTTTCCTTGTATCGATAGTTTTTCTGAAGTGTGCACCTGGAAGCTTGAATTTACTGTAGAAGAATCTTATACGGCAGTATCGTGTGGAGAACTTTTAGAAATTGTACAGGCAGCTGATGGGAGCAGACGAAAGGTTTTCCACTACTTTCTTTCGGTTCCTACTGCTGCTCCTAATATTGGCCTCGCTGTTGGCCCTTTCGACATTTACGTCGACCCAAAAATGCACGAGGTCAGTAAAACTACGTAATAGTGCGACATACGTAATGAATTTTATTATTAACAACGCTATCAATATATTTATGTCACTCATTTCAGGTCACTCATTTTTGTTTGCCTGGACTTATGAATTTGCTACGATGGACCTCGAGGTTTTTACATGAAATGTTTGAGTTTTACGAAGAGTTGCTAACTACGCGGTTCCCGTACACGTGTTACAAGACGGTCTATATTCATGAAGCATATGAAGAGATGCAGTCTTTTGCTTCGATGTGCATTCTGGAGTAAGAAGAGCGCATTTAATTGTATGATTTTACAGGCATGTGTTTATTTTGGAATTTTGTTTCTGCAGTACGTGCTTATTGCATACTTCTGCAATTTTGGATCAAACTTATGTGACTCGGAGATTCACTGCCGTAGCATTAGCCGAACAATTTTATTCCTGCTACATTTCCATCCAACATTCCTCTGATTCGTGGCTGGCCAAAGGGATCTCCAATTTTCTTTCCTTGTTGTACATAAAAAAATTTCTTGGAATGAATGAATATCGAAATATTATTTTCACGGTAATTTTAAAGAACTCAAACATATATCACATATCAGTTATTTTACTAGTTTGTAGAATGTGCCTAATCAATTAATCCTTCAATGAGAGTGGATGAACATTGTGCTTATATTAAAATAGGATCTTCAAGACGTTTTGAAGTACGAGCAGCAGTACGGTGGAATAGTTTTAGACCCCTGCATGCTAGACAAATCAATTACGTTTGCAGGACCTAGTACGACTGAAAGTAATAGTAGTTGTAATGTTAGACCATCTAATCAAGCAAATCAGGTATACAAATTTGTATTTAAATTATTGCACACATGCACCAACTTTGTACACGTTTCTAACTTATATTCTTAATAAACAGGTTCCTGGAGCTGATGCTGGGTTTTATTTTTCCTTGTCCAATCCACATACAATTTCACCCGAGTATTTAAAAGTGCTATCGAAAAAGGCACATTTGGTGATCAGAATGCTAGAGATGAGAATAGGAGCTACTTTATTCATTCAGGTTTGGATGGATATTTTAAATTATCATAAATATCAATATTTATTTACCATTTCTGATTTTATTATATTCTTAGGTGTTGAACAAACAACTTTCGCTGGCAAATATTTATATTGCTCAGTCACAGCAGTCTGGAATGGGCCTGGTGGTACCACAAGCCCCTCCACCAACAACTCAAGGTACGATCGTAATGATTTGTTTGTCTATTAATGGTAGATTTGAAGAGATTTGATTTTGTCCATTAAACTATTTTTGCTAGTAGATGGTCCCTCCTCCAACACCAACAATCCAATTTTGATCAGCACGGCGTCTTTTACTCGAGCAGTGTTTAATGTTACAGGTAAAAAACTATTTCTATATTTAGTATACTATTGACAGCCAATTTTCGACAAAGAATATCTAATTGCATGTCGTGTTATGACATTCTAGGGAAAGATATGACAGTATTCATGGACCAATGGGTAAGTATTAATTTCTTAATTTATTAATTTAAAGTTGGGGTAAGGTAAAATTGTTAAAAATTTAATTTTTAACAATTGCTTATTAGGTACGACAAGGTGGTCATGTTCATTTTCAGATGTCCTTCATCTTTAATCGAAAAAGGTAACAGGGCGAATAAATAAAGCATCAACCAAACGCTGACGCGAACTGTATACTCAACATTTAGTATTTGTGTTAAGGAATACGGTGGAACTGGAGATAAAGCAAGAAAATTTACATCAGCTTGGAGTTCGAAAATATGTGGGACCATTGACGGTTTCTCTCCAAGAATTGGATGGCACATTCCGACATTTGCTTCAAATAGAAGGGACTCATGCAAAAGCGGATATTGTTTGCCACTCAAAAAGTCGTAGGCAGAAAAAGAAAAAAATCCCTTTGTGCACTGGAGAGGAAGTTGACATGGATCTTAGCGCTATGGAGTAATTTAATTTAACAATTTAATTATTTGTAAGCGTTTTAATATTATAATTTGAAATTTATTTGTGTTTAGCGCGGACTCTCCTGTTCTGTGGATTAGACTAGATCCCGATATATCACTAATTCGACAAACGGATGTCAGACAACCCGATTTTCAGTGGCAATACCAACTCAAACACGAACGAGATGTCCCTGCCCAGATCCAAGCTGTGTTGGCTTTGGAGGCGTGAGTAAAGTCTATTTATATAGAAAAGGACGATATTTTTGGTTTGGCTTGCTAAAAAATGAATAATTAATTGATCAAACTAATTCAGATTCCCGACACCCCAAACTCGAGTTACTTTGACGGAAATGATTGAGAATGAACAATGTTTTATTCGTGTTCGAACTGAAGCGTGTTACGTTCTTGCAAAAGTAATTAGTTTTGTATAACAAGTTAAAAAAACTCATATTTATAAATGCTCAATAAGCATTTTTTTTGTGTATATAATTAATTTCAGGTAGCAAATGCAATGAGTTCCACCTGGACAGGGCCCCCGGCAATGATCAATATTTTCAGAAAATTGTTTGGCTCCTTCTCATGTCCTGGAATTATTAAGCATAACGACTTTTCCAATTTGCAGCACTACTATTTACAAAAGGTAAACTGCTTTTATCATGCATGCCTACTCAATAGAATAAATATGGTTGATTTTCTTGTTTTAGTCCATTCCAGCGTCAATGGCATCCCTCCGAAATACCCACGGCATCTGCCCTTCCGAGGTGCTCAAGTTTCTTATCGATCTCTTCAAGTATAATGATAATTCAAGGAACCAAATATCAGACAATTATTACCGAGCCACACTTGTCCAATCATTAGGCAATACGGTGACTCCTGTGGTTTCATTGTTGCAATCAGGGTAACGTTTTATTATTTTTGCCAGATGGTTACTGTTGTCCATGAATCGAAGTGGTTTCCAAAAGAAAAATATAAAAATGTGATGGTTTCTATTTAGCTCTGACATCACTGCAGAATCCCTCTCATCAGATACAAGATTAATCATGGAGGAAATAACTCGATGCCTGAATCTTGAAAAGATGCTCCATTGTTACAAATATGTTGTAACTGTAGAATGTTTGAAAGCTTTAAGAAAACTCCAAAAATTTGGACATCTTCCCAACAACGTTGAAGTATTTAAAGCATATGCTGAATATGGACAGTTTCATGGTACGCAAGACATAATATTCTTATATAAGTATATATGTATGCTCGTTTGATCGAGATCAGATTACATAAGTGCACTTAATTTTTCAGACGTACGACTTGCGGCCTTAGAAGCTGTTGTAGATTACACTCGAACAGACGGAAAGTTAGACGATGCTGAGTTTCTGCTCAACATTGTTGAAAACGATCCCGTTCCGACGATGCGACATGATTTATGTCGGCTTATAATTCGATGCTTAACTGAAAAAATGGTATGTCTTGTCCCGTATTCAATAGTATATGTAAAATGTATTTTTGATTATTGTTTTAATTTTTTGTCAGACTGATCGCAGACCACGAGCAAAGTCCCCATTACATTCGAAAACTATTGCACTTAGAATATGGAAGAAAATGAAGTATGCATGATAATATTTTTTAGGACTATGATGCTTTTTATTTCAATTTTACAAATCGTAATCTATTCTAACTTTCTTTTTGCCAGTTATGAATGTATTGGAGATGCAAGATTGAGATGTGATTTGGTGGATTTATACTACACGTTATTCGGCATACGTAAGCCCTTGTGCTTTCTTGATGATTCCCAACAAAACGATGAAGCATTTTCTAGGAGGAAATCTGCATTGACAACTCGCGAAGGGGTTGAAGAGTTCAAACGAGTAAGGGTCTACATACTAATTGTTATCTCTAACAAGTTCAATCTCCAAGTATTTAGTGCTCGGTAGTCCTTTATATTTTAGTGTCTTTGGTGTCTTTAGTTGTTTTTGTACTTTAATAAGCGTAGTTCCTTTACTTTATTTGTGATCACTCTGTCGGAAATCTTTTAGTGACAATAACCTGGAATCATCCGTGTTATTTATATATTGTGTTTGCATTGCAGGAAAGTCCAACGATTATTGAGACTGAGCCACCAAAAACAGCAAGGATTTTATCATCCAAGAGAGAATCGATGGCATCTGACAATTCCGGCGACTTACCTGAAGCCATGGACATTGATGGAATGCCGACATCTTTTGAGCCAGGGATGTTCAAGAATGACGACTTGCAGAAGCCCAGGATCAAGGAAGAGAAAGGAGCAAAAACAGATGTCGACAATGGAGATCATCACGACGAACTAGTTGAATCCAATAAGGACAAAGAAGTCCGTGTGAAAGAAGAGGGAGAAGAGCCATCAACATCTTCACACAAGAAACACCATCATCATCATCATAATAAGGTTTGATGAACAATTCATAAATAGCGTTCCACTATGAATTTATGATTATGACTGCAAACCTGGTGAATTTTTTTTTTGATATTTCTAGGCAAAGAAAAAGAAGGACAAGAAGAAAAAGCACAAACATAAGCATAAGCATAAGCACGAACACAAAAAAAAGACTCGCGAGGAAACTCTAAGCTCTGGAAGTTCTGGAAGCAATAGTCCAGTACAGCAACAATAAAATCGTTTTCTTAATTTTCTCTCTTGTATGGTAAACGCAATTTTTGAAATATCCTGGGCTTTTTGTGATTGTATTTTACTACTGTGAATAAATAATGAAATTCATACATGTATAACTAAAGTCAAAAGTTTTAAATATTTATTGGTAATAAAGGTGCGACTCTGAGAGACAATCGACTGTGGCGACCGTGTCCTGTATAAGCCAAAGACGAGATCATCACCGATTCCTTACTAATCCAACCAAAGTGATCATGTCAATCCTTATATGACTATGAACACAATCACCATTATGATTCATTTATTTTCTTTTTTATCTCGTCATTGCTCTTGACAAAAAGGTTCATGGTGGTTCATGTCTGCCTGCGTAATGTTTGTGAGGAACGTAGCATTCGTATTTATTGCCTCGAGGCAAATCAAAGTTGTTGTGGAGTGCCTCAGCCAACCAGGTTTTACTACGCGATGAGAGTGAGTGATACGTTGTTTTGGCGTTACTATTTCTCGTAAGTAAGGTTGTTGAAACAAACTTGCCATTGGTCGTCTTATGTCCACGTAAGCAAGACATTCTTCATAATCATCACCCGAGTGTTAGTGCTATGCTTCTAAAATGTGGCATTAAAATCATCAAAAGTTATCTACAACTTCCATTTGGCTGAATTATGTATGCGGCCAATTTTTGCCATTCCATAAGAAACCAGCATTCCGTGATGCATCATTGTTACAACCATGCAAAATTATTGGATGTTGGAAATAAGCTTCTTTTGTTTGCTTCTTCGTGATTAATGTTGTGATTTTGCCATATGGTGCTGTGCATGGACTGAATTTTACTCCGAGTTGTAGTTTGTACCATGTTTTTGAACGGATGTTTGATATCATGTTTCACGTTTGATGCGGCGTTGTCCGAATGACTTTGGAGTCACTTTCCAAGGTTGTTCTACGTACACTATACATACGTTTCTGCATACTCCCTACAAGCTACGTGTACAGCCTTATTTCCTAAAAGTACGAATATGAGACAAGACTCACTAAAAGGTTTCGCTTTGATGCGTCCTCTATTAAGGTTCAAATCCGAAGTATATTAGTTGGACACGGATAAATGCATAAAGCATTTTTATTTACATGTACAAAGACCGTGACTTACATAATTGCACCCTCTTCAAAATGGATTGTGATTAATAATGTTGGATCCGAAAAATCATGCCTTTTTTATGAGCTGATGATTTAATTTAATTAATAGCCAACTTTTTGAAGCACTCTTCTTATTCTCATATTTCTTTCTAATTAAGCATACCAGATTGGCAATTGCCAGTACAGTATTAAACATGAGTCAGTGTCACTGGTAGTCTTATTTCTGTTGAACAGCTTTGGAAACTTTAGAATCACTTTGTTTGCAGAGCAGAACTAATAAGTTTTGGCTAGATATGCGTACGTACGACTTGCACAAGTGACTTAATTAGTCCAGTACCGAAAAAGCAGGCCATGCATGATTTTTATACATGGTGAATTACCTATATATTTATACACATATAATTTGATACAAATAGTTCATGTGCAACAAGTGCACATCCGCCCTTCGTTTACAAAACTTGTTTAATTTAAAATCTCACCCAGGAGTTTATCACTCCTCAGTAAGTTCAATAAAATAGATTTAATGCTTCCAGAAATCATAAAAGTTCTTGTTGTGTTCATCGCCAGTGTATCAGCACCAGCGGTCGAGATCAGTCTAGATTGCCATTTCCTGCATACCCATTAGCTTAATTAACTTTGTATTTCACCCAATTAATGTTCTCGACTCGATCAAGTCTCGAAGGGAACCCGTACTGAAATTGATGCCAATTTAGACGTACATAAGTTGAATATAATCCTCGTAGAGTGCATTCGATTGTAATGTGCATTCCTCGTTACAAAATGAGCGACGCTATAATAATACGGATTTATCGCCCACAATTTGGTTTGATAAATATTAGGCCAGCTACTACGAGATATGTTATGTTATGTACGTAGTAGAATATTGAACAATGGCAAGCGTTTATTGCACCTATTTTTTGTTTATTTGCAGCCCATTCAACCAGCTGAATTCGTCTCAGCTTTTTGTGCAAATCCCTGCATGACCATTAAATATGGTATGCCAACAAAAGCATTAAAACATAATGTGAGATGTGGAGGATGAGATCTGAGACGAGTCTCTCAGATAGCACATTCCAAATACTATACATACATATGCTCCAAGTCGTACACAAGTAGTTGGTGATGGTGGTGATAGAATTTGCGGGCATAATGCTATTTCTCATAAGAATTAACTGCCTCTCATCCCATGAAGTAGTAGTTGATTGCCAAGCACAACTTATCAAGTGCTCAAGTGGATATGCATACCGAGGAGTTTTGGAGCTCCTCCTTTCGAAAGTTGGTGGATAAGTGATGTCTCGTTCTGAGTCGTTCTGTAGCCAAACCTGCTGCTGCTGCAGTGTGTGGCCCCCAAATGAGAAATAGCGAATGAACTTTTTCAAGGTTCCCAATCTCACCATTTGCATTCAACTCGCATCCACTGACTGACTGACTGAAACAAGCCGAACTTTTTTTGCAAGTTTTGGCTTCGTTCTCATGAAGCCCTGTTTTTTGCAAACACAGTCCTCCGCAGCAGCACAACACCATTTTCGCTGTATCATTTATACACACGTAGTGTGTACCTACTTGCACATATTTTCCGACTGCTGGCACGTTTACAACTACGGCTTACGTGGGGTAGCAAATAACTTGGGCAGCGTACAGATTCGCAACGAAATTTTGCGTATGTACATGTAAGCTCCATGTGGTAACTTGCTTACATAAAGATGAATGATGATGATTTATTCCTTAAACAAAAGCATCCAGTTTCTAGTTTGCTGAATTAAATCCTCTGCTCAAGCAAGTGCGATCCCTGCAGTGTGAATCCAATCTGTAAAGCATTGCAGCGGACTCTTTTATTCGTTTACTCTATTTTTTTTAGTGGAGGCATTATTATTATGAAATACATGTGCAGCCAATTAAGTTATTATTTGATATGGGAAAGCAAAAAGTTGAGATTTTTTTCTTCATATTTGATAATAACCTTCATCGTCTTCAATGTTTTTCACCCGTATTTTTGTAATTCGTGTGTAGTAAAATTGTAATCCGCGTATATCTAACTTACTCTCCGTAGTTTTTATCAATTCTAGACTGCAGAATAAAATCACATTGTATGCAAAAACTAAAAACGTTGGTTGGGCAATTGACGCAAGAAATTTTCATGAAGGTTATTTATATTTCAAAGTCACATGTCACCTTGTCATATTCGGCTTGCATAAGTATACATGTCTGTGCTGCATGTATGACGTTGAGACAGCCTAAAAATACTATAGACTCAACAATTTCAAATATCATAAAAACTGAAATGCACTTGCTGCTCATGTAGCGAATGTCTTGCTAAATATACAAATGTTCCCATCGAACGTATAAGTTACTCGATGAGCCAGATAATTATGCAAGTTCTGACTTTGGGGCTTTCCTAATTTACATATATTTCTTAATGGTTAGACTGAACAGCACACCTTGTTCCAGTGTCCAGTTGTTTGGTTCCTCCTATATGCCATTAATTAGTTTAATAGTGTTAGTAGAATCAGAGGGTTCATGAGCAATATGTAAAAACCTTGCATAATTTCCAGACACATTGTGTCTTTATTAACCACTTCAATTCACGGCTGAGTTATCTGGTAATAATATAAATGATACTGATACTGATGTCGTTCCTGGTGAACCAGCAGACAGGCAGAACAGGTACAGGGTTCGAGGTCAATCGTCTACTCCAACCTACTCAGTTTACATATTCTTGTTTGATTCTCCAGTAGCAAAGGTGTACACCAAATCACTTTCATGTTAAAGCCTTGGTAAAGTTTGTGTCATTTTCAGGTAGGCATTTAAGATCAGATTAGTTCTTCTTGATTTCTACGGACAGATTTGTTGGCTGGAGCGAATTTATGTATTTACCCAGCATGAATTAACCCAGGATTATATTTTCCATATGCACTACTCATTAATAGTAATAAAACGAATATTTGTGTCATTATGATTAACTGTATTACTAACTGATTTTAAACTGTATTCAGAGCAAAATGTATCTCGTTGAGACTAGAGTTTAATGGGTTCATTCAAAAGTAAACGATTATGAATGAAATGAACCCTGAACTTAGTGTAAGTAGGCAAGTAAATACGCGTCATTTATTATTGTGACATTTTAACTGGGGAAACTTTGTCCAGCAATGGCTTACGATGTTGATAATGATGATCTACGTATTGCTCAACGATAGTTCATTCAATCAAATGCGAATTAAATCGTGTTGCATATTAAAATCTGCATCTGTTACATCGCAAATTCGTTTTTTGTGTGTACATGATTGATCTTATCAATGTAAGCCAATGCTGATCATTTGTCAGTTCTATGCATATCATATCATTCAGGTTGCCCAATTACATAAATTATATCTTTGCGTTCGGCCTTCAAGTTTCTGAGGGTACTAATGGGAAATATATGTTGTTCATGAGATTATGTATTGATTGGCTTTTAGTTTACTTTTTTTAACTCGCTTTAAAATTATATTAAAGAGTTCATGAAACATGATCGGTTAATTTAAACCGACCATCAGCATTACATTTGTTTACGAAATGATAATTAAATGGTCTCCAGTTTATGGTTCACAATGTCCTACATTATTTTAAGAACTAAATCCAAACTCCTTTATCGACGCATCTGAAAAGTAATCTAACATTAAGGTTAAATTTAAGAGATTTACTTGTTAGTTGTGATTCGCAATACGAACTACATACGAAATTCGTATTACGAATAAATATTCATTTACGTACAATTTCCAGCCAGACGCAGCTGGCTCTTTTACACAAGGACTTGATACAAGTGTTGTCAGACGTTTTTATTACCTGGATATCCAACTTTATATGGACTGTTGATTTTAAAATCGTTTACTGCAAACGATTTAATACTTGTTAAAGGTTTCAACATTCATTTCAGACTTGATCGACCAGTTACAAAAGTAATACACAAAATTGCAAGTGTACTGATACCTCCAAATCCCATTGAATAAAATTGATCGATTT